TTCATCATTTAGCTGATGTCTCCATCTGCTGGACAATAGACTGTAGTGTTACGTCCGTCTTCTACTTCTCAATGGGCTCATATTTACACATTTAGATTTATAGATCTAAAATATAGGTCTATATTTTGGAAAAACGTTAACTATTTTGATTAAAATCTACCACGTAGTAACTACTGCTTTGTGCTTTAGAGTAAAGACTGGATATAACAGCCCTTCAGAAAACATACCTTGGTTTTACCAAAGACTTTTACCCACGCACTATAGTGTACTATATGTAAACACAGTCATATTAATAAAACTATGGAAACTGCAGTAAAAACTTCGGCAGTAACGTAGTACATTCATAAAATCAGATTCAGATAGACAAACCCTGGCATATGTATAGCTTCTACATTTGTGTAGGCTATTTATTTTTTATTAAACAACAAATAGCTTGCTTTATAAAAGTTACATGAATCTAACAACGGCAGTGAGGAGCTTTGCATGGTTATAAACAAACAAATACACAATAATGGTTATTTCCATATGTGTTTTAGTTTATTATCATAATTTTTTTTATATCAAACCCTTTTTTCATTTTTTTTTTTTTTACTGTAGTTACACTGAGCTAACCATGGTGATGAGGAGCTATTCATGGTGTTACATTTAGTTAATGTACAAGAACCACTGCTAAATAGATAAATAAATAAAGTAAGTAAGTAAGTAAGTCTTAAAGTTCATAATGACTATGAAATAATGTTGTGGTCGAGTATATATGCTCAACAGAAGTCTCTACCGTCCGAAGAAAGACCGACACCCGAAGCAACTTTATTGTTCCCTCTCCCGCAGACAGTGGTCGCTGCACGGGCGGATTGGGATGGATTTATAGCACGGAAAATCGTTGCGTTATGAATTTCATAAAATCTTTGCTTTTCAGCTGTGGACTGTATTGTTTCGAGATCTTGCTAGATTTGTTTATTCACTCTCCTCTGTTAAATACGTAAGAACGGAAGAAGTGTACGATTTTTAGAAAACATCTTGTTGTTTGTAAAGCAGGCCGCTGAGCCCTCGGATTTTCCTAACATTGTGTCCGGCATGGTGCGCTCGGCCCACGGGACACTCGCGGCATTTTACACCCGGTAAGACCCGATAGAGCTCTTCGAAACAGCGCGCGCTGCAACAAGTTCTTTTGTTTTGATATGGGTCATATGATCCCAACCTCTATATTTCGTATTTTAGCTACATCTGAGTTTAGATTAGTGAGTTTCCTCAGTAACGTATCGTTGTTGTATTGTAAACACAAAGATTAGGCAGCAGATTGACGTAGTTAGACGTTGACGAGCATGCTATGTTATTAGCAGCTAAACTAGCTGGTAGCTTTTATGATTCAACAAACCGTTTTCTGCTATCAAAGACCGCGTTGCTAAATCAAATACATTTCTTTTTAAATGAACAAATCCAGTGGACACAGTGAAATTAATTGTGCATTGCACATAATAGCTTTTATTCTTATTAGCATCGTCCAAGTGTAAGCTTTTATATATGCAGCTCTAAACTATGCGAATTCATTATTAATACATAGATGTTTAGTGACTGTTTATGTTATTACTTTATTTGTATGATTATAAATTACCTTTAAGGGGTTGCTTTCATAAATGTGCAGTTTTTGAATCTATAACGCATAAATGTGTATAAAAGTGTTATGACGCTCATCTCAAACACCTCTCTCGATCTAAGTAAATGAATATCAGGAAAAGAAAGGCTAGGCACAGATGGTTTAGGAATTATGTTTAATAATTTGCAAATTTTTAACATAAAATATATAACAGCTTACGTGCTTTTGCCTTTATTGTATAAAGTCTTGTGTTAAAATGAATAGGCAACTTGTTTAGATTGAGTCTCTTGACCATAATAAAGGCCGCAGGTGCATGGATGTAGAACTTTAGCTAACCAAATGAAGTGGATAACTGCTTACTGATCCTATTGGACATACGTTTTTTTCAGAGTTTAGAGTGCATGTAGTTTTTTTTTATTTTTTATTGTAGTTTGTGTATAAGAATGATCATTCTTCATTTTTCTCAGCTAATTGTCCTCCACTCTGTCGACAGGTGCCGAACCATGGTATCCACCTAGTCCCTGGTTTGACTTCAGTGGTCGTAGTAGCGAAACATTTCTCATCTATGATTGACTGAGAGCTGTTGTCACTGCCAGCATACTTCTTATACAACACTCTACTATGAATACCGCAGTCTTGACAACATTGCAAGCTGATTGGTGAACCACTATGAAGTGAAGCTGACTCTCCACAAAGGCAACTAAGTGAACTGTGGTCCCCAAACAGAAGCAATACCATATTACAAGACTTTTTTGTTACATTGACATATTTGGCCATAGACTTTAGAATGGCATCTGTTCCTGTTTACTGCCTGTGCCGTCTCCCTTACGATGTCACCCGGTTCATGATTGAGTGTGATGTTTGTCAGGACTGGTTTCATGGCAGGTGAAGTTGCATTTTGTAAATTAAAATTGAAAGCTACGTTGAAATCACCTTTATGGTATATATGAAGAGTTTATTTGCAAAAACAGATAACTCCGTTTTTTTAAATGGTCAGAAATCATGTTTTTATGTTTTATTGTTAGTTAGCTGTATTGTTTTGTTATTATTTTAACCTAATCAAAATAACCCAACTGCAGTTTGACTGAGATTAATTGGAATGCACAATGAAAAAACATGATTTTTGAAAATTGTTAAAAATGGAGTCTGTTAATTGCAAATGAACTCTTCATATGATGTTATTTGTTTGCAATTGTAATGTTTTTTTTTTTCATGTGTAGTTGTGTTGGTGTGGAAGAAGACAAAGCGGCAGATATTGACCTGTATCATTGTCCTAACTGTCAGGTGACACATGGACCCTCTGTCAGTAAGTGCCGCAAATACTGTATAATCTGTATAACTGGTGTTTTGTTGACCTGTAGATTAAATGCATTTTTTTTTTCTTTAAGATTTGTTTTATTTTCGTAGAAAATCACTAAGAGTGCTAGGATAATTCTGACTTCATGTGTATCCAGTGTTTTTTCTATCATTGAGATACTACTATAGTATTTATTATTATTTTGAATTTTTATATATATATATGTATTTTCTGTTTTTGTTTTTTTGTTTTAGTAATTTAATTGTGTGTTTTTGCCATTTTTAGTAGTTTTTGTTTATATATATATATATATATATATATATATA